AACTTTTAGTAAGCAACCTTTGACTCCTGAGCTATCCTTGCAGCACTGCCATTTATTCTTCTCAGTCTATATGTGTCTTTACCTGATCTGATCCTAAGTTTTTAACCACTTTTATACTGTCCCAGTTATATTTTGTGTTACACGGTAGGATTCACTTAACATCTAAACATTAGTTACCTTTTTTGAGGATTAAATGAAGTAGTATATACAAAGTACACATCCTATAGCATGAGGGACTTGACACTGTATAAACTTTACACATATTCTACCTCTGTTAGAAAGGGAATTTTGAAAGTAACATCAGAGAGTCCTTTAATCAGTATGATTTACAGCGTGTTACATGATTACAACAGTCTGTATGACTTTAAGAATTGTAAAATACTGTTCTCTTAGACTGAATTAGTGGTGCTTTTGTGAGAATTTTATGGCATACCTTAAAATGACAGAAGACTTCAAAGAATTAACTTTCTGTTTTCTAACTTACATGAACAAGGTGAGAGTAGATCAGTTGTGCTTAGAATATAATCCATGCTGTTTTGCATGGTTGAAAGAAATGCAGAGAAAATTCAGATAAAAGTTGTGTTTTCATGAAGGCTTCTACTGAAATAGAGCCTTCTCAAGTTGTGATGCTCAGGTGAACTTCTCCCTGTGGGTCTCTAGGTGGCAATATCAAACCAGAAATGCTCACACGCACCTGTTGGCCAGGAGAACACTTTCAGCGTCCAAATTGGATGATTACATACAGGTGCCTTGTGTAAAATGTGGCAAAGTCTTGTTTGAATTTGAATATGTAATCAGACACCAGCTTTGCCTCATCCCCATATTTACATATGTTCGAATGGCCGCTTCTGTCTTCTGTGATTCACAGAGAAAGGTCTTCTGGGATTTCCCCTCTCTCTCCCCTGCTGACTTACTAAGATACCTTTATGGCTCTTCTTGGGAATAACTGCTCCCTTGTAGAAATACCCACTTCTTCCCCGTGCTTTTGTATACCACCTGTCCGCCCTTTCCACAAGGGAGAAGGTTAAAAAAAGAGAGCCAAAAGAGGAGGAGTGTGCATTAACCCAGCTCTGGACCTTATTTCCATTGCTGTTGTAGTGACTGCCACAGATACCCTGTATACTCTTCTCCTTAGTAATTGTCCTCACCTTCTTTTTATCATGGTTGCTAGAAATGATGACTTTGAACACCACCCTGCCCCTGCCAAAGAGCTAGCTAGGAACACAATTAACAATTCTAAGCCTTAATTATGTTTTGTTTGTGTCTTTGGGGAGTCAGGGAAGGCAGTAAGACTAACTAGTCCCATAGAAAAAGTGGTGGGGACAGAAAAGAAGACAAATCAGGTGTGATGATGGTGAATGTACCTGTAATCCCAATATTTGGGATGTGACGGCAGGAGAATAAGGAAATGAAGGCTGGCATGGGCTATAGGAGAATCTGTTTGCAAACAAATAAACAGAAGCAGATAGCCTAATATTGAGGACTAAAAAAGGAGAGAGAAAAATAGGGATCATTCAACTGAGAGTAAGCTGCACCCCTGTGTTTTTCCACTGGCTAGAAGTCAAAGTTTTCCATGCCTAGTGCCAGTGTACCACAATTCCAAAGAAAGGCTGTTGGGAAGGAATAAGGTGGAAAGGAGGAACCTTTGACCCTCTGTTAGGTTAGGGTTGTATTCTTTCAAGTTAAAAGTCTGCACAGAGATTCTACAGAATTTTTGACATTTCTAGTGGGTGCATGTATTCATGTGTGTGCTTGTGTATTGTGGTGTGTGTGTGTTACAAAAGTCCAAGTGTACAGATCAGAAAACAACTCTCAAGAGTTATTTCTTCCTTCCACTGTGAGTCTTAGGGATTGAATTCAGGTCAGTTGTAAGACTCCCACTCCAAGTACTTTTACCACCTCAGCCACCTCAATGTCCCCAGAATCACTGTTATATGAATTAGTTAAGAATTCTCCTGTTATTATGTCATGGAATAGTTTTCTCCAGGCTTTCAGCCCAACCCAGAATAAAACAGAACCCCAACCACCATATTTTCTACAAAACAAACGTATACTGAATTTGAGGCAGCACTTATAAATTCATTATATTAATCACATTAGGCTCCAAATGCAAGCCTTGAGCCTGGTTTGATGGTACACACTTGTAATCCCATCTGAGGCAACAAGATCAGTAGTTCAAAGCCGTCCTTTGATATATGGCAAAGGTCAGCCTGATCTACATGAAACCTGTCTCAAATAGCCAAAGCGGGGGGCAGAGAGTGGAGAGATGTCTCAGCAGTTAAAAGCATTGGCTACTCTTGCAGAGGACCTGAGTTAAATTCTCATCACCCACATATTGGCCCACAGTCTGTACCTCCACTTACAGAGGACCCTGCACCCTCTTCTGGCCTCTGGTACCATACCAAGCATGCATATGGTACCCAAATATACATGCACGCAAGACACCCGTACACATACAATAAGAGTTTCTTCAAAGATATTTTAAAGTATAAAAAACAAAAAACATTTCAAGCCATATTAGTCTTTGGTATAATGATTATACATATGTATATTTTATTTGCATATAATATTTATTTTCTTATTAAACTTATTTGGTTAAAGTATGTCTTTAGGATCAATTTATCATGACAGACGGTGTTTCTATTAGACAATTTGGTTCATTTCATTAGTGACATTTTCTTTTCTCTCAAGTGGTTTGTTTTAACCCAAGACAGGTGTCTCATGTTATTTTGAAAAAACAAAGTTAAACTGCTTTATAATATTTACCAAGCCTAGGAATTAGAATACTTCATCGAAAGTAATAGCTCATTGTCCACGAGCCCATGCTATTAACTGCTGCAACTCTGACAGCATTTAGAGCAGAATATAGAAGACTGACAGTCATTTAGACATAACAAGAAGATAAAAGGCTTATTTACCAAACTGAAAAGAAATTAGGGAAGCTATATTCTTCAATCGCATGTCTGCTCAAATGCACTTTTTAAATTATATTTTATAAGTGATAACTTTTAATGTTTCTTTAATCTTTTGGTTGGAAATTAAACATCAGTTGATTATCCATTAAGTTGTAAATCATGGGTCCTAGGAGATTTTAAAGATGAGATTCTAGTCAAGCATGTGTATCGAAAGGTAATAATGCATCTGCTGGCTAAATCTGACAAAAATCCTTTTCTATAGACAGGCAGGGTGTTGACAGAGACAGACCCAAGGTTTGGCTTCAGACCTGCATAATGAGTCCACCATACCCACTTACCAGCTATTAGCCTTCCTGGGCCCCAGTTTTCTCAACTATAGAATGGGGGCTTAGCATAAAATGGTAGCTTTACAAGTCACATCAATTTAATCTAAACAGTTTTATTGGAAAGTAGGAGTAGATATTATCTGTTTTAATAAAGATTTGTTTTACTTTTTGTCATGTGCATATGTATGTTTCCGTGTGGTGGTATGTACACATGTGAGTGAAGGTGCCCATATGATACAGAAGAGGGTGTCAGATGCCCTGGAACTAGAGTTATAGGCAGCTGTGAGCTGTCTGATGTGGGTTCTAGGGACAGAACTCTGGTCCTGTGAAAGAGCAGTAGTATATGCCTTTAACCACCAAGTCTTCCTCAAGCTCCTGGTGTTATCTATATTTTATGGATGAGTTACTTGAGACTCAGGCTATACCCAGCACTCCCCCTGCACTGCTTCTAGAAGAACATGGTTATGAAAATGGATATAACAGATAACAATGATGATTTGATGTGACTGTCCATTTGTGAGCTAGCTTCCCCTAAGGCAGCTATTGTCAAACCTTTCGCCCCTGACATTCATATGGTACTATTGGGCTGCTGTTGTGCTTGCTGAAACTACATCCTTGACTGAGCCCAGAAATCATGCTAGACAGGATATGATTAAGGCTTGGATTTATATGGTATTGGTGGGAATGGACAGGAATAAAACATCCAAACAAATCTGGAACTGCCTGAATATGTGCAGGTGACCAAGGAGTTTAAGTGGTCAAGGGAGAAAGCAAAGTTTCAAAATAAGTTGTTCTTTCTCTGATTGCATCTTTCTTTCCATTTCCTTCCTCCCTTTTCTTCTTTTTCTTCTTTCCTTATTTCTCTTCCTTCCTTCCTTTCTTCTTTTCTTCCTTTCTTTAATTCCTTTATGCAGCATATTATTTTTTTTTTATCCCAATCTTCCCTAGAAGTTACTATGTAGCTCAGGCTGACCTCAAATTCATGGAGTTTCTCCTGTGTCCTGAGTGTTAGTATTGCAAGTGCTATCACACCTGGTTCTTTCTCTTTTTTAAAGTGCATATCGAGTGACCTTGCCATCCTAACCCTCACTGATGGAGATAATCTGGAAAGGTACCGAAGGCTAAAACAGCATCTGAGATTTATACATTTATAGGGCTAAGTTTAGGAAAATTTACTTTTATTTGCACTAAGATGCTGCCTTATGGGAGTATTCAGGTATCCTGCAAAACTGTGCTCAGGTCTTATGCAAAATGACTTAGTGGTTAGTCATACCAATACTATAGTGCCTTAATACAGCTTTTGGCTGTAGAACAGTACAGTGGAATAAGATGAAGACGTTATTGAGTTGTTAATCTTGGCATCAGACAAGCAAATAAATAGAATGTTTGAAGTGACCAAGAAAACATACTATTTTAATCTGAGATTGAGGTCATCTTATAGACACTTCACTCCATCACTTGGGTACATAAAGGTGAGAACTTTTGTTTTGTTCATGGCTGTAGCACTATCCAAGGATAGAGTCTGCTCCCCAGAAGCTGCTCAATTGGTAAATGCTGAATGAGTATTTAACACGAGGGACCCTGAGTGTGGCCTATCATCATCTGCCCTATCATCATCTGCCCTATGGTGGACATAGAGATGTTGGCATTAGAGAGACAAATAATGGCTGCTTTCATTGTGCAAAACATAACACAGTAAGTTGATACTCAGCATCGGATATTTAGCAATATTGAAAGTATATTGATTATTTTTCTTTAGTGATGATGTAGAACGCTTCATGGAAAATCAAGGTGCGTCCAGCCCAGGTATCCTTATTTTAACAACAAGCCTCAGCAAACCATTTATGCGCCTGGAAAAGTATGTTACTCTCTTGCAAGAACTGGAAAGACATATGGAGGTAAGGAAAGACAAACTTTAGCAAGGTCTGCTACCAGCTGGTGTCCTCTGTGTTCTACAAAGCAGATGGTCTGCCTCCAAACAGCTTTTCTAACAATCCAGAAAACATCTTGGTTTCAAATTCTACTTGATCTGATCTTCACTCTTTCCTGGATGGTATTCTATAATTCCTCTTTATGCAACAAAATAAGATACCCTTTTTTTCCTGATGCAAAGTTATCATTATTCCCCCTTCTTCTCTTCCAGGCCTTGGCCCTGTTGCTGTCCTCAAGACTATGCTCATTTATTGATTTAGGCCAGTCGTTCTCAAACTGTGGTTTGCAACTCCTTTTGGGGGGTTAAACGACCCTTTCACAGGGGTCACACATCAGATATCCTGCATATCAGATATCTACATTACAATTCATAACAGTAGCAAAATTACAGTTATGAAATAGAAACAAGAATAATTTTATGGTTGGTCGTCTCCACAACATGAGGAGCTGTATTAAAGGGTCACAGCATTAGAGAGGTTGAGAACCACTGACTTGGTTTTCTTTTGCTATCTTGTCTGTAGATGATGGTTCATTGGCAATCAGAACTACAAAGCTTTATTGTTCTGGTATATTAACTAACATTATTGTGAGAGAAAATGCAAACCAAAATAGAAAACATGATGACCAACCCCAAAAAAATGTATGTTGCAGATAGAAACACTGTGGACATTTTGTTCTCCAACTCTGGCATTCCTTAAAGATTATAAATGGATCCAATACTACTATATCACTGTCCATCAGTGTGTCTACACCAAAGTCCACTCACATTTTTGTTTTTATAAGCAAATTAAAATTATTTGTAATAATTGCAGTGCAGCTATAATCTTTTTTTAATATTAGGAAATGCAACAAGGTCTGATAAATGAGTATTAAGTACCTAAAACACGTTGTGATTTTAAAAAGCAGTCACATAGCCTTGAGCTGTTCTTTCATGATCTCTCGTGGGGTGTGGAGGCATGGGTGGGAAGGACTGTCTTTATCCTAGTTGCTCTTCCTGTGTCTGGGGCAAGCTTTTGAGGCTTTAAAGGGGTTGATTATCTCTAAAGAAAAAAGGCTACATGTCACTGTTGCTTGTCAGCTTTTGTAAGGGTTGAGAACTCACTCTCTGCATGAAAACACACTCTCAGGATATTTAAACTCAGGATATTTAAAGTTGGAGGCAGTGGAGAGCTGGAAAGGAAATGCTGCCAGGGTGAAGTTTCAATTAGGGCTCTGGAAGGTGTTGAACTCTGGATGCCTTTCCATATGCTAAACCAGTATATCTAGACTGTTTGAGGTTTGCCCCTCCTTCCTTATAAAAACCCAGAAAGCAGTGGCCTCTGCTTGTCGTTTCTCAGGACTGCAGTAGGAACAACACTAAGAGCACACAGCTAAATGAGGGAAAAACTTCCAGGCCTTAGGTGTTCCTCCGGAGTCTGCCTGCCTCACCTGTTTCTAGCCAAGCCTCAGTTTGGTCACATTGGCTTTGGCTTCTTTCTGATTGCCAACATCATATTATACACCCTCCCCCCTTTCTGGGAGAGTACCACTTGGCCATCCACATCCAGATTTCTACTCAATTGTAAGGATAAGGTTTACCATGAAAGAGTACATGCTAACTAACTTTCCATGCACAGAGTTGCCTGTGGCTTGAGTCAGACCTCTAGTCTGCTCTACCCTGTTTACTACTTGAGCCTGGATGAGCAGAATTGGAATTCTTATTTCTTCAGCTGAACCGAGGTACTCAGTACATATACACCCCTAGGTGAGGTATGCCTAACATGTCTATATCCCTCAGCATTAGGATCCCTACAGGATCAGTGATGTCCCTCCAAGTAATTATTTGTAACTATATTTATTATTAAATATTATCTATTATATTTCATTATTTCAAACAATTTTAAATTTTAAATTGATTTTGATCATATTCTTTCCCTCCCCCAAGTCCACCAAGATCTCTCTTCCTCCTTACTCAACGAACTTCAAGTTCTTCCTCAAAAATCAAACCCAACCCCCAAAACCTAGAAAACAAAATACAACACCCAAAAAGAAAAAAAAAAAGAAAGAAAGAAAGAAAAGAAAAGGAAAAAAAAGAAAGAAAAGAAGGAAGAAAATGTAACCAAATAAAAGCACACAAAAATCTGTGGAGCTCATTATTTGTCAGAGAAATACAAAGTCTTACCTCAATTATGATACTTATAAGGTTCTTACTAAATATATGATGTGATATAAACTGTCTTAATATTTAATAGTGCTTTGATAAATACTGCTACCCTACAGTGTGTATATGTGTAAAACATCATATTATACACCATAAATATCTATAAATTTGCCCATCAATTAGAAAGAAAAGATAGTCATAAACTCTAATTTTATGTGCAAAACAGTCAGTTGTATAATATAAACTAAGAATTCAAAAACAGAGCAGAATATAGGTTCCCAGTAATTCCAGTAATTACGTGGTTAAGGAAATTTCTGGGGCTGGACAGACAGCTCAGCAGTTAGAGTGCATACTACTTTTGCAAAGGATCCCAATACAGATCCTAGCACCCAAGTGCTGGCTCACTGCTCACAACTGCCTGTAACTCAGTCAGCTCCAGAGGGATCCAAAGCTTCTGACCTCACATACCTATACTTACGTTCTCTCTCTTTCTCTCTCTCTGACACACACACACTTCTAGGTGGCCACACTTTCATCCCACTCCATCTGTCACAGCATTCATTCTCCTCTAATCCTGTTTTTATTATTTATCTCTTTTTAAAGATTTCTTTTATCTTTAGAGATTATAATTACATCATTTCCTTCTTCCCGCCTTCCTCCATACCTTCTCATGTACCCCTTCTAGCTCTCTTCTAATTGTTGTTATGTACATATATACACATATGCTGATACTGTTTTTTTTTAAATGTCTTCCTTTGATAGGAAACTCATCCAGATCATCAGAATATTATGAAAGCAATCATAGCATTCAAGACACTCATGGTAGGTGACACTCTCAGATTGTCATTCTCTGTTTTGTATACTTTGTGATTTGTGTGTAGCATTTCTTTCCTTAACAAAGGTTCTTGGGATAGAAACAATAAGCTCTCGGGACAGTAGCTCCATGACTATTTAATTTGGTTTTGTTCTCCGCAAATCATGCTTACCTGTGAAGGTTTGCCAGGCTGAGGGCATAAAGCGATCACATTTGAAAGTGTTGGCCACATTAAGCATTGATGTGTAGGTGGGGGTTTTTCTTCCTTTTTCTTTGTCTTTACCCCTTTTGCTCACCCTATGTCTGTATAACTTGTCATTCACTGATTGGCATCAATATTGAATCTCACAATTGTGCCAAACTGTGAATTTGTTCTTTGCATATGAAAAAGAAATCCTTCCTAAAAGGAAAAGTACAACATACTAAAATAAAATCGCTTAATATAGATTGCTACAAGAGGTAGCTATAATCTTGCATCTTGAGCAGCAAGATTAACCTGTCTCCTTGAACCCACTGATGTAAAACCTTTTGATGCCATTTCAGAAGGAAAAAAAACAACAACTTTATTTTGAGTAATGGGTTAAGTTTAGATGTATTTGACATTTCTAAAGCATTCTGTGGGATTTGGACTGATGTTTAGCTTTTGATCCTTGCTGGAAAGTTACTGCATAGCATTCATCATCAGTTCACTTTTATTGCTTTTGAAAGATAAGTAACTGACACGTCAAGGGCTAAAGGGAAAGCTGAAGATCAGGCAAGGTATTATGACAAATTTTCTCCTCCTGTCAGGCAAAAAGGATAAAAATACCAGCAGTTCTACACGGCTCAACTTCGTAGAAGAGCTCACTCAGACCCATGGCATGGCATTTGTTGTAACTTGTATCTCTTTTAGTCAGTCTTATGTAAAAGAATATAGAAGGCCTTTGAAAAAACAGACAAGCAAACAATTCAACAAAATCAAGTGTCTGCCAGGTGTGGTGGGGTATGCCTTTAATACCACCACTTTAGAGACTGAGACAGAATGTCCAGTTTAAAGTCAGCTTCAGTTACAAAGTGAATTTGAGGCATCCTGGGCTGCACAAGACCCTGTCTGAACAACAACAGCAGCAAATAAATTAACCCCTCCAACAACAAAAAGTAAATGTGCTCTTTTTTGTCATGTTGTAAAACTTGCTTTGATAGTGGTAATATATTTACTGCAAATACACATGCTTTTAAAAATCTGTAATAATGTATTTATTTCTTAAAATCTTAGCTGAATGATGCAACAGCTTTTTATAGAAAAAAATACTTTCCAAAAGAATTATACTACATTCATTTGGATGCAGTAACATAATGCAACATTTGCTTAGACTTGTGTTCACATTGCAATGAGTACTGTTAGATTACTACAAAATAACTTTAGTCTTCTGAAAGAGGTTTTATATCTATATATTTTCATACTCACATAGTATTGACAAACTGTTTTTTTATTTGAATTTCCAATTTAATCATCATGAAATCCAGTTGTATCTGTTTTCCCCAATCCTTTTAGGAATAAAAATAAGCTTAGTATTTTACAAAAATGTACTGTTGCTCTCTAAACAAAGAACAGTGCGTGTTTTGTGATAAACTCAGTTTGATTCACTCTGGCATTAAATATTTTTGAAATTCTTTGTTTTCAAATCTCTGGAAGTCCTTTTTGTTCATTTTTTTTTCTTATCATCAAGCTGCTACCTTGTTGGAGAGTGAGTATACATCATGTAAATGAAATTGCTTTGTAATTATAGTCCTATTTCACCATGATAGTAAAGGGCTCGTTGCTGCTCTGGCTCTACTTTATGGGGTTCTGCTCCTTGTCTCTCCAGATTCCTCATGGGGAGGGGAAAATAAGCCCCTTCTTACCACTTTATCTTGATGCTTCAACAAAATGGAAACTATCTCCTCTTCTTATAACTTTGAGAGGCTCAAAGCTAGATAGTGTGCTTGCCTGCCAGGAACATGGATGGGCATATGATTCAGTGTAAAGGATAAAGAGAAGTAGTGCAAAGCAAGGAGTCAAAAGCCATGCCTTATTTTGAATTTGTTTGGGGTCTGAGAATTTTTCCCGTCTGACTTGCACAAATCCCCATTGCATCATGTTTTGTTTGTTTTGCCTCGGTAGGGGCAGTGCCAAGATCTGAGAAAGAGAAAACAACTGGAATTGCAGATCCTTTCAGAACCTATTCAGGCATGGGAAGGAGATGATATTAAGACCTTGGGAACTGTGATCTTTATGTCACAAGTAATGGTGCAGTATGGAACCTCCGATGTAAGTCCTCAACATTGCTTCTTTCACATTTCCCTTCATTTATTAATAATTCTGCCAAGGTCCATATGAGTGGTGGCCAAGAGAGTAGGAAAGAAAGTATAACTTTAAGACACATTTAGATTGTAATCTCAACAGACATGGGTGACTTGTGAGATACAAAAGATGGCAGATATAATTTAGACCTACTAATTTTCAAAGATCCTCGGTATCTGCATGGAGATGTCCTGTAAGCAGCTGTTAATGCACTCTGGAAATGTAGGTGAGAGGTTGTTGTTAAAGAGAGAGATTTAGATGTTTCTGACAGATGTACCTTTCTAAGAAGTACATATCCAAAGAGAAGTACAGAGGTTGAAGATGGATTATTTCTTTTAGGAAGAGACCAGGGTAGGGCACAAAGGTTGATCATGTCACCTGGTATGATTTATTGGGTGTTAGAGTTATCTCCCTTCTCCACAAACACGTTCCTATACCCACTGACATGCTTGTGGCAGAGATTCATTACTTTCGGTTAATAAGCAATCTCATTGAAAATGCAGATACCCTGGGGAAGGCTAATACAGTGAGGGTAACTATTAGTCATTCACATCTTCGGGATGAAGGTAAAGAAGGAGGTACTATTGTGGGGCTGGGTGGAGGACACAAATAGGAGAAAAGAATTGGGAGACTGTGGTGTCATTGAAATTCCGGGAGGAGCACTTGAAAGTGGCCAGCAAGCCAAGTGCTCTGGAAGGTTCAAAGGTCAAGGAGTATGAAGACCCAAAAGAAGCCATTGGAATTTGCTGGAAGGCAGTTATTGATGACTTTGAGAGAGCAGTTGGGGAATGCAGTTAGGGAGGGATCAATGGAGAGAAAAATGAAGGCAGGGAGTAATTTGGCAATAAAATGTCAAGAAATGAGATACTATGAATAAAGAGTCACATGGGATGAACAAGGTCCTTCAGAAAGCAATAAGCATATGTTAAAGGCAAAAGAGGAAAACCTGGTAAAACAGGAAAGGCTGCTAAAGAAGAGCAATGTTTGTGGAAGGAAAACTGGCAAGAGAGCAATCTGAAAGAATAATGGCTGTCCCCACTGTGAACTCTGAGGGTTTACTCTACTCAAGTGGAAAGAAGAGTGAGGAGACAGCGAGAGGATAACTGAGTCAACTGGAATTTTTGCATCTACTTACTGTGACTCTGTTAAAGGGGGTCACAGCATCTCTCAAGCATTGTTTACTTCAGTGCAATCAAAAACATAGTTGACAGTAATGCATTATAATATATGTTAAAGGAGCTAGAAAAGAGGATTTCTTTTCACCTAAAAGCAGTTTATACATTTGACATTTGTCTGTTTGCTTGTTGTTGTTGGTTTTTTTCGTTTGTTTGTTTTTTGCGTATGCACATGTGGAGGTCACAAGACAACTGTTAGGAGTTGGTTCCCTCCTTCTACCATGTGGGTCCTGGGGATCAAATTCGACTCTTCAGATCATCTATCATACTTTTTATCAGACAAGTCTTTACCAACTGAGCCATCTTACTAGCCGCATAATGGATTTTGTGATTGCTTATCATGAAGAAATGATAAAAGTTTAAGATAGTTTAAGATATGCTAATAACTTGGATTTGGTCATTACGCAGTGTATACAAGAAATTCCATATTGATTCTTATAAATGTGTACAAATCTCTTTTTTAAAAAATAATCTACTTTAATCTTTTTAAAAAGATTTTTCTTATTATGTATACAATATTCTGTTTGCATGTGCACCAGAAGATCTCATTATAGATGTTTTATAAGCCACCATGTGTTTGATGGGAATTGAACTCAGACCTTTGGAAGAACAGACAGTGCTCTTAACCTCTGAACCATCACTCCAGCCCCATGTATGAATCTCTTATGCACCAATCCAAACACCTATGAAATTGGACTGGGAGTAAATAGGAAGTGGAAGAATGTGGATTTAGTGTGTACAAGGTCCTGGGTTGGATTTCCAATATCATTCACAGGGACCAAACAATCGACACCACTTTAAAAATTTATTTATTTATTATGTCTGCAGTGTTTTTTAGATGGTTAGGGGCCACCATGTGGTTGCTGGGAATTGAACTCAGGACCTCTGGAAGAGGTCGTTTTTGTTTTTTTTTTTTAAGTATCTTAATTTTTTTTCTTTATTAATTACACTTTATTCACTTTGTATCCCCCCTGTGGTTCTCTCCCTCCTCCCATCCCAATCCCTCCCTTCCTCCACCCTCTGCATGCATGCCCCTCCCCAAGTCCACTGGAGAGCAACAGAACCAAAAAATCTGAGCACAGGGGTCTTTCCTGAGACTGATACTCCAATCAAGGACTATGCAAGGAGATAACCTAAGACCCCTGCACAGATGTAGGACATTTCTTATCTGTTGAAAGTTGTTTCACTTTGCTACTATTCAGAGTAAAGTTACATTTTAGTTTTGTGAACCTTGAAAGATGACTTTATGCCCAGAACTAGTATGTCACACTGGGGCATAATATGTGTGAGTTCTTACCCTCACACACTCGGGGAATAATGAACATACTTATTTGATGCTTCTGACTTGGCTATCTTTTTGCAACTCACTGCCAATGCTCAGGTTGATGATTATGTAAGGTCTGCATGTCAAAGCATTCTAAACAAAAGCAGTCCAATTTATGTTATCCCTTCCCTAATTTTTATTCTACTTCAGGAAAAAGAGGAACGGTATTTGATGCTGTTTTCAGATGTCTTGATATTGTTGTCTGCAAGTCCTCGGATGAGTGGCTTTATCTATCAGGTGAGTAGATCTATATAAAACAAATTATCAAAGGTCAGATGAGAACAGGCTTCTGTTCAGATGTGATATATGCACGATGCCGTTAAAAGTTCAAGCCTGCAAAGGAAGAATGTTTTGGCCTTTCACTATAATGAAACAGCTTGTAAGAACACGTGGTCTTGAGATCAAAGACCTTTGTATTAGTAGAATTCTGCCCTGGAAGTCTGCTGTTCTGCTTGTGAGCTAGGTCTCCAAACGTATAAGTAGAAATCTAAGTCTGCAATTAGATAAATTAGCCTCAACAGTTTACAGACCCATATCATAACTGCTGAGAAATACAAAACTGGTGCTTGATCCCGTGGTTGTCATTTTGCAGCCATGGTTCATGGTTTCAGTTTGCAAGATGTCAGTCCTAAAATGCTTCAGAGAACGAAACCTCCCTTAGGCTGTTCCCAAAATATAGATCATTATGTTGTGGTTCTATGTTATATGTAGTCCTAGACATTACTCTCTTTCATGAGTTGTGAACCTCTGATTTTCAGTTCGTATGAAAGTAAGCTAGAAAGTCAACTGTTTTGTCAATCATGAGCTTAGGGTTTAAGCTGTATTAGCCAAATGCATGCTTCTCCCTTGTTTTCTTAACTGTTTGAAACATAAACTAGGGAAGCATTATCTCTTGTCCAACTAGTGAATATGTCTTGCCATGTGATTCGTGAGAAGATCAAAAGTCTGAGAGAAATATGTACAATCATAGAATTAATAGGAATATTCTTTGTTTGTCTAGGGAAAAATATCAACAGCAGGAATGGTGGTGACTAGATTAGATGAAATTGAAGGGAATGACTGCGCATTTGAAATCACAGGTAGGTAATTTTCTCCTTTTCATGTGGCTAGTTCAAATCCTTTCTGTAATAAAGCGGAGCTTAAACAAATAAATGATATTACTTTCTCCTGTATAGCTCATCAGCACGTTTTATGGGGATATGACAAAGTCTGTTCCATTTCCCAGAATAACTAGAGCAGACTGATAAAACCACAAAGCTTCCTGGTTATTTTCTAGCCTCTGCTTTGCCATTACTCTTCATCTTCTTTTGCCTAAGAGTTATTTGTGAGAGCTAGAGAATGGTGAGATAGACTGACCTTCTCCTCTGTCATGTGGTCCATGGTGGCCAAGAAGCCAAAGGTACGGCCTTCCATCACCATTCTTACTATCAACCTATAAACTAGCAAGGTTTGCTTCTGTTCTATGAAGCTGTGCAACTTTCAGTACAGATTGAGCAAAATGTACAGACGTCCTACTTCTTCCTGACATTGTCCCTTTTGCCAGACCTCTGTGACTTACTTGTAATGGCTGTACTTCTACATGGATGTCTTAGTGGTGAAGACAGGGTTAATATCCCTAGCCTTATCAAAACCTCTACTCACCAATAAGTAGCCTCAGTTTGGGTACTTGCCTACAGATCTTTCTATTAGTTTCAACTACATGCTGTTCCATCTTTGAGACTGGGCAAAAAGAGACAATATTCTTAGATTAAACTATGGACTAGATGGTCAGTCGATACTCTTATGGTTTCAGTTGCTAGTGTGTTTATAGTGAAGTTTTCCACTTATGTCTAAGATTCTGAAAAGTGGTAGGAATCAATTGACAGCTTTAGAAATAAAAATGAATAATCATTTACTATATCATTAAAACTTCCCTGTTCCTAATATTGAAGTTTGAAAGGAGGGTTATTTCATAGAAAGGAAGATGCTGAAAATAGATGTTCAATTGAAGTTTTGTAAGACAGATCCTTACCTTTGGGTCCTAAATGTTGAAAATTGGGTGATGCAGGTAGCATGATAGAGAGAACTGTGGTCTATTGCAACAATAACGAGGACTTCCAGGAATGGTTGGAGCAGCTCAACAGACTGACCAGAGGACCAGCATCTTCTAGTTCGTTGTCTAAGACCTCCTCCTCATCATGTAGTGCTCATTCTGTAAGTAGTCCACTGGGATTGTTGGGATTATTGAAGTATTAAGCTTATTGAAGTTTTTGTCAGACTTTGCACACAAAGACTTTTGAAAATCAGCAGCAAACATGCCATTTGATTTTGGGTGGACTCTATTTGTAGATTTTGAGGTACAGTTAAACCTCACTGATTCTAAGTTGTCATCATTGTGAAGCCCATTGAAATGAATAAAACATTTCAGTTAGGTGTGTGCAATTTTAGTCAGCAGTTTAAAGTACTCCAGCTAACTACCAGATACCCTTCTAAAATGTTTTCATGATAAACAAGACTTACTTGTTTTATAACTGTTATTCTCACTTAATCATGTGCTAAGTCGAAGCAGGGGGTTCACTCCCCTGAGTGCTTACACATTTCCATGTAATCCCACTCATGCTTTCACATCTGCTCAGTAACTTGCATGAAAGGTAAACTATTAGCAATGCTATCCTCTGAGTTCTCAGAGATCTAGAACTTGTGCAATTGGAATTAATGAGATTTTACTCTGCTGGCTGGGTGAAATGGAAGCTTTCCTCTGCTGTCTGGTAATACTCAAACCTGAAATGCCAACATTCCTATTTTGAGTGCTGTGTGTTGTGGTGGCAGAACACAGGCTTTGGGTTCAAATCTTGTCTTTGCCAGTTACTAGCCAGTTTGCTGAGTTTGTTGTAGTTTACTCTGATGAAATAATCCATTTAAGATTCTATTTGAGTGCCAAACACAACACAACACTGAAACCCAAATGCTTCCACTTTTCTTCCTTACAGAGGATACATTTCAGCCTTAAGTGGAATTGCAAAGAAGAGAGGACAGGATCATGGGACAATGAGCACATTTTGTGCAGGTCCTTAGAGATCCCATAAGCTTATGTAGAAACTGTGACTTTTCAACCAGACACTTTCACTATTCCATAGTCCTCCTTTCATGCCTGGGTTTGCTGATGCAATGAAGTTATTTTCATTCTCTCACTGGGTGGTACCATGTTGGGTTCAGATGGCAAATTGCCAGCATCTCATGAAACATTTTCCCAGTCTTTTAGCTCTGCCGGACAGTCTCGAGGACTCTTGGAGCCTCCTCAAATTTTAAAACCATGGAGTTTAAGTTGCCTACGACCTGCACCTCCCCTTAGACCATCAGCAGCACTAGGTTATAAAGAGGTAATTTTTCTACATATGGTATAAAATGCTTATGACAAGCTAATTTTAGAGCTTATTGCAAATAGTTCAGTGACACTATGCTAGAATTTATGAAAGGATATATATATATATATACTGATATATGTGTGTGTATATATATATATATGTATATCAGTCTTGAATTGTTAGACTCAGTGATTTTTTAATTTTACATTTCCCTGTTCGTCATATACAGACATTGATGGAACTGAACAGTTCAAGTGAACTGCCTGTTTCTTCAGTTCTTTCAAGTGCCTCTGTTGTCTCTCTACATAGAGAGAGTAATTCTTTTTTTTCTTTTTGTAATTAAATTTTTATAGTAATTACAGTTTATTAACTTTATATCCCAACTGTAGCTCCCTTCTTCATTCCCTCCCAATCCCACCCTCCTTCCCTCATCTCCTCCCTGACACTCTCTAAGTCCACTGATAGGGGAGGTCCTCCTCCCCTTCCATCTGACCCTAGCTTATTATGACTATTCTTTAGAGTTGTTAACTATGTATACACATCGCAAACAAGAAATACGTAATTTCAAGTTTCATTTCCAATTGAAATATCCAATTCTGTATTTTGTAGCATGTTGATCAATGAACCCCAATCAGTAAAATGTCATAAGACCAAGCCAAGTGTCTCAACTATGAAAGCAATGTTTGCTTTGGTGTGAAGGATCAAAGGATGTAATGAAAGAATTGTCTTTTTTTCAGAGAAGCTTCTCATTAGCAGCCTCCCACACAGGACATTTGATATTTGCCTAGTGTGCTGCCCAGATAGACCATGGTCAGGGTGGCTGAAATTTTGCTCTAGAAGTACAGTGTAAGGCACATCAGTCACCAGCTACCATGACTACACAGTGTTTGTTACTTTTTCCACCCAGCGAGGTTTTCCCTTTTACTTATTTCTAATTATTTTAGATCTCAGAAAAGATGATGCTCATTTATTAATAACTACTGTTCAGGCATTGTGGTATGAAGAGTAAGTTGCTGACGGTTATGAGGTGAGCTTTAGAATTTTGATGGAAAGGCATCCATTGTGTTTTGATCCTGGAGACTTTGCTCAATTTTCAGTGTATTTGCATTTGAGCAACTATGCTTTTGCTCCAGTTAATTGCCACCTTCGTCTCTCAGTGCAGCAAAATATAATAATAAGTAGACACTGGAGGACTTTTTTTTTTAAACCCTTTCAGCTGGTGTAAGAGGAGACATGACTCTTAAGCACACTCTTTTTTTTTTTTTTTAATGTAACTCTATTCAGAGTTTGGGTAGGAAGTGGCCCCACAGATTTGCTTTGAAATTGACCTGCAACCATTCAGCTTTCTTTGATTACTTAAACCAGGAGTGCCACTTCATAGTAACCTAGTCCTGTTTGTAATAATGGACATTTTTGCAACTGTCAGTTACTAAATTCATACCAAGATGAGCTCTGAAGGGTAATGTTGACTTAATCCTTCATATAACTAATCTATTAAAACTAAGGCATGATCACTTTGCTTCTGCTGGGGGAAGAGAGTTATTAATATGTTCTTACTATGTACTGTGCATTTTGGTGATTTTTCGGCATTTGTAATTCTGCACAGAACTAGATTCTTTGGACTTTTGCATGAGGATATTGCTTCTGAAACTAATGTGGGAAAATGTAATTATATTCTCTCCATCTAATTTATGATAAAACTAACATTTCAAATGTTGTTTTAGAATTATTGATAAATGAATTTGGTCATTATAACCATCAACCTCTCACTCTCATCTTCTCTTTCTTTACATATTCATTTTAGAGGATGTCTTATATCTTAAAGGTAAGGGTAGAACAGTGACATCATAATGTTATTGTGCTGTAATCTTTGATGAATGAAGCTTTCCTTTATGCTTGTCTTGTCCCGTGCTATAATTGATGGCTAAAATGTAAAGATGCAATTATGACATGAAAGTACTGTTGGAATAATGTTCTTGTAAAATGTACACAATTTACCCTTGTTCATTGAAATGCTGATTTCTCTACCCCACTATCCGGTTTCAATCCGGACATTGCATTGTGATGTTTATTCTAAGCATCACCTGTCTCAAGTTTGTGTAAACATGCCGCCATTTGTTCTCTGTATTGTCAATAAAACAACCAGCCACAATGCTGAGCAATGGAGAGAATAGGGTGGGACATCCTGGTCGGGAGGGGAGGAGAAGGAAGCAAGTGGGAGGAGAGGAGAGTGGAGATCAGCAGGAGAGGACTTCGAACCATGAGGAGAGATGAACCGGACCTAAGATATGACTAAAAGCAAGTATAATGGGTGAAATGGTAGGAAACTATGCGGGCTTGGAGGTTTAAGATGGAGTAACTATTGCCCAGCATTGTGCTCTAGGTTAATTAAATAAATTCTAGTCTGTGTGTTGATTTGGGTATACAGCTGGTTTAGGAATAACCGCTGCTTTAACTAAAAGATAAATTAATAATAAATATTAATAATCAACAACAAAGTACTTTCTTTAAAACCAGGCTTGTGTTTGATACACATAAAATGTCACTTTATATATCATGCCTTTAAAACGCTAATTTTCCTATTTTTAATGCTAGCTTTTCTTCTTATTTTTCTTAAATCACATGTTTTTCATTTTTGTTTGTTTTTAACTTTAAGTGGACCCACTGTGTCTAAGTGAAGGCAATTAAATTCATTGTTTCATATATTTTAAAGTACTACTCATTACTCATATATCAGATACATACATACATACATACATACATACATACATACATACATACATACATA